TGGTTAGTGGGACCCAGGAGGCTGGGGAACCCAGCTGCTCCTGGCACTTGTGTCCTCATCCCTGCAGGCGGAGACTGACTTTGACCTTTGTGGGTCCTGAAATAGAAGCCAGAGCTAGCACACAGCGCCATAAAGCTTCTTGGCAGACATGCTGTTACCTGTCTCTTCGGGGCCTCCCTCTGGTGAGTGCGGTACCTCCAAAACGCATGCCCAGAGGCAGGGGGATGGCCACAGAGACTCACCTGCCTGAAATGCCAAGGATCTTGAGTTTCTGCCAAGCTCATTGGTCAAAGGTGAAGGCGAGTATCTTTTTCTCCTGAAACCTGGGCATATTCCGGACAGTCACCCATCTTTGCCTGTTTTTCTCCTGCTGTCAGCCCCTAAGAGGAAAGTCGGACTCCTGTCTGGGAGCAGTTTAATCCGAGTCAGTGGACAGAACATGGGACGGAGAAAACTCTCTCCCCAGAGAGAGTGATAGTGATAACAATTATCACTGTCACTGGTTCAGGGCAATCTAAGTGCTGGGCGCCCTTCACGTATTGCTTCACTTAGTCATCTCAGGAGACAGTGGCTTGGGTATTGCTGTGATCTGCATTTTATAGATGAAGAATTGAGGCACCGAGGGGTTGGGTAAGTTGGTGAGACCACACAGCTAGAGAGTGAGTGAGGCAGGATTCGAACCCAGCTGGTTTGGCCTCGGGGTCTGCACCCCTGATCTTTCCTGTCTCCTGCAGCTCACCCCTCTCACCTGCCCCTGCAGCTGCCCAGGCTGGCTGAGGAATTCCCAACCACACACCCTCCACTTGTGTGGCCTTGGTCACTGGTATTCACATGGCGTTTACAGTCACGTTACTTTGCAGGAGACAAAACGGCAGAAAGGTGATAATGGAGTGCTCTTAGAGGGGACCAGAGGACAAGGATGTGACCCTGGAGATAGAGGCGAAAGCACTAAGATTTGGAATCTGACAACCCAGCTCCCAGACTATGGCCAGAGTGACTATGGCAAGTTCCTTAACCATTTGGGGCCTCAATTTTCTCACATATAAAATGGAGACAACACCTATATGATAGGCTGAATTTTGTCCCCCTAAAATTCGGAAGCTGAAGCCTTGGCTTGGCGCCTGTGGCTCAAGTGGCTAAGGCACCAGCCACATGCACCTAATGTGGCAGGTTCAAATCCAAGCGGGCCGCCAAACAACAATGACTGCTGCAACCAAAAAATAGCCAGGCATTGTGGCGGGCACCTGTGGTCCCAGCTACTTGGGAGGCGGAGGCAGGAGACTTGCTTGAGCCCAGGAGTTGGAGGTTGCTGTGAGCCGTAATTCCACGGCACTCTACCCAGGGGAATAGCTTGAGGCTCTGTCTCAAAAAAAAAAAAAGGTTGAAGCCCTATATGCCCACAGTAGGTTAGGATTGAGAGGAAGAGCAGGTATGGACTCCACTTGGGTTAAGCAAACAGAGTTTTCACAGGACAGACAGCAGAGAGGCCGACAGCCCAGAACGGTGCAAGTGGGGACCTTCTAGCAAATGAGGGTCACATTAGAGTTTCTAGAAGCCTGAATCTCTCCAGACAAAGGCATACCTACGTCTGTGAGCCTGAAGCTTTTATTTAGGAAAAATAACAAAATCAGGAATACACAATTAGGTACAAAATGATGAGAAAAGAAATCAGAGCAAACTACACATTTTTAAACGCTGATAGCAAGCATTCATCTTCCCAGAGCCTTGGAAGGGACTTATGCAAGTCAGGGGTCCCGATGCTTAGCTTCTGGCAAATCTGTTTCCACTTACAAGTGTAAACACATGTCTAGATCTAAGCACAGAACTGGGGCCGCATCCTGCCAGAGACCTGTTCACCTGGGGTCCTCAAGTGTGTGATCAACTCAGGGCATGTGCAGTTCAGTGCACAGCTTGTACTCAGGACGTTCAGGCATAATCAAATCCTGATTCAGACTCTCCAGCACAGCCTGGTCATGCTCATTCCTGAACCGCGTGCATGGAACTGGAACAAGTTACCCTGCACAGGCTGAGTCAGGCAACCCAGCCCTTAGACCAGCTGTGGGGCTTGTCTTGCACAGGCATTCCAGGCAGGAAAATTATCTTGTGCAAACTCCTAAGGGGACAGGTGGCCAGGCCCTCTTTAAAGAACTGCTGGGATGTCAGTGAGGCCGGAATTTATGCATGTGGGCAGAGGTAAGAGAAGGGCATGGGATAGAGAGGCGAGTTGCTGGACATGTAAAAGGCATATTCATGGTTTGGGGTGGGGTTTAGTTTTATGGGGGAGCAAAGTGCCTTCTCCCCTGTAGCGGTAAAGAACTGATTTCTGAAGTCCCCATGTGGGGCCACCAAATGACAGGTTTGAAAATGGTCAGTTGCTCAGTGGGTGTTGCTTGTAAGACAAGAAAAAATTTCTCTAGTCTAGGGCTAGAATATAAAGTATAAGTTTATTTTATATTAGTGAAAAAGAAGAGAGCTGGGGGAAGAGATGAAAAAGAGAGAAGAGAGCAGAGAGTGGGGAGTGAGAGAGAGGAAGATGGTGGGGGGTGAGACAAGGAGCTAGAGAATGGCGTGGCATCAAGGTCAGCTGTAAAAGGCGTATTTGGATTATGCTTTAGAAAGATCTCTCTATAGGCAGTGCAAAAGGTGAGGGTGGCTTGGTAAGGCAGGGAGACCAGCAAGTAGTCCACTGCAGGAATCCAAGAGTAGCCATCAGGCGTTCTCCAGGGAATCAAAGCCAAAGCCAGGACACTCAAAGGCACAGTTACAGCTCAAGTCCAGAGGCCTGAGAGCTAGGATGGTGTAAGTTCCATTCTAAAAGCCAGCAGGTTCAAGACCAAGGAAGAGCTGATGTTTCAGTTGAAGTCCAAAGGCTGGAAAAAATGGGTGTCCAGTTCACAGCAGTCAGGAGGAGCTCCTCTTACCTGAGAGAGGGTCAGCACTGCTGTTCTGGTCAGGCCTTTAACGGATTGGATGAGGCCCACCCACATCAGGGAGGGCAACACGGTTTACTCAGTCTACAGATTCACATGTTAATCTCTTCCAGAAAGACCCTCCCAGACACACCCAGAATAATGTTTGACCAAATATCTGGGCACCACATGGCCCAGTCAAGTTGACACATGAAATTAACCATTACTCCAAGAGAGGAATGATAATGGCTCCAACAGGCACAGTGGCCACAATGATTACAGATTGGAAAACTGTCAAAAGGTCAAATAGGAATTGGTGAGCAGTTAATTTTGGAAGATGACAGAGATTCTGTGGTAACATATGGGTTTTACTGTGACAGGGTCATCCGTGTTGTCTTTTAGCCTCCCCAGTTTATGGGAACAAATGTTGTCACATTAACAGTGAGATATCAGTTTTACTCCCCAAGAACTCCTGGCATCTTAAAAATCTTCACGCACACATCCTAGCCATTATTGAGCAATGCCACCCTTGCGGAACTGAGATCCTGCCAAGCTGGAGATGCACTGTGCCTGCCGTCTTATAAGCATCAGTCAAGCCTAGCTCTGCACCAGGTGTGCAGAGACTGCACATGGTGCTGGTGGTGCCGTGTGGCCACCTGCTGGGAGGTCAGCAGGGAAATATTTCCTCTCCTCTGGCTATGAGGCCGTCACAGCAACCTTCAGCTCCACCCCAAAGTGCAACCTGGCATCTAGTAGGTTCCTATAGTACCTAGATCACTGCCCTCCTTTGACTGCCAGGCACTGAGGTTGGGTGTACCATATTGTACCAGTCTTCCTTTATGGTGAATTCTCTGCCAGAGGCCTGGAAATTCTTATCATTCGGCCTCCGCCAGCTACCCCTGCTCTCCCACTCCCACCCCCCTCAGTGCACCTGATGTGCCTATTTGTGCCTGGAATCAACTATCCTCAGCCTGCTATGTCAGTTCCCATAGAGAGATACACGAAGATTAGAGTATGATATAAATCTTGGTGTTTTGTGGGGAGAGTTAGAATCTGGTGGGGTTTTTTTTTCTTACTCTTCTAGTTGTTTACTTTGTTTTATTTTGTTTTGGATCTTAGGTGCAGAAAGCTGAGTTAAACTTAACATTACCTCTGTAATATCTGCAAGAGCTCCCTTTTAGGCTCAGTGCCTGTAGCTCAGCGGCTAGGGCGCCAGCCACATACACCAGAGCTGGTGAGTTCAAATCCAGCCCAGGCCTGCCAAATAACAATGACAACTACAATCAAAAAATAGCCGGGGGTTGTGGCAGGCGCCGGTAGTCCCAACTACTTGGGAGGTTGAGGCAGGAGAATCGCTTAAGCCCAAGAGTTTGAGGTTGTTGAGAGCTGTGATGCTATGGCACTCTACTGAGGGTGACATAGTGAGACTCTGTCTCAAAAAAAAAAAAAAGCCTAATTCATAATTGCTAAGTCATGGAAGAAGTCCAAGTGCCCATTGACCCATGAATGGATCAATAAATTGTGGTATATGTACACCATGGAATATTATGCAGCCTTAAAAAAGATGGAGACTTTAACTCTTTCATGATTACATGGATGGAGCTGGAACATATTCATTCTTCTTAGCAGAGTATCTCAAGAATGGGAGAAAAAGTATTCAATGTACTCAGCCCTACTATGAAACCAATTTATAGTTTTCATATGAAAACTATAATCCAACCATAGCCCAAGAAGAAGGGGAAAAAGGAGAGGGAGGAGGGGAGCGGGGAGGATGGTTGGAAGGAGCGTAATTGGTGGGAACACAACAATGGTGCATTTTACAATGGTACATGTTAAATTTACTAAGTGTAAAGTATAAATGTCTTAACACAATAACTAAGAAAATGCGGTGAAGGCTATGTTAACATTGAAGGCTATGTTAACCAGTTTGACAAAAATATTTCACAAAAATATTTCAAATGGTATATAAAACCAGCACATTGTACCCCATAATTGCATTAATGTACATAGCTATGATTTAATAAAAAAAAAAAAAAACGAGAGAGAGAGCTCCCTTTTATTTCTTTATTTCTCTTATTTCCGTACCTACAGGATCTTGCTTTCTTGTCCAGGCTAGGGGGCAGTGGCATGATGGCAGCTTGTCACACTTCAAACTTCTGGGCTCAAACGATCCTCTCGCCTGGGCCTCCTAAAGTGCTGAGATCACAAGAGTGAGCCACCACACCTTGCCAAGAGAAGGAGGCACTTTCATGATTATTATCCTGGGACCACAGGTGGAAACCAGGCCTGCCGACGTGGTCTGGACATGTGGTCACCCTGCTTGTGCTATACATCTGCTTTTGTGTCCCCACTAGGAAGCCGTTCTATTTGGTTCAATTTGTGTGTATTTTGCTTTTATATATTCTTATAAAATTTGTGTTTCTGTCTTCTGTGCATGCATTTTAAATATATATCAGTGATACTTTGTTACAGCTGTACTTTTTGTCTCTTATCTTTTCACTAAGCTCTGTTCCTGTTTATATCTAATTTGTTGCTTCAAATGGATGCATAATACTCCGCCATTGGGCAGCCACACAGATGCCTGGCTGGTCCAGCCTCACCCCCTTGCAGGTAACCACATAGTGATTCTCTTTGTTCAATGAGCCTTCTAGGACTGGAATTGGAATTGCTTCAGGATCTCAGGAGCAGAATTGGTGGCTTCTCATTTAAGTAAGTAGTTCCAGACTGGTCTCCAAAATGTGCCCACCTCCCTGCAGCTGGTGTATAGATTTCTGCTCCAGCCCAGTGGAGTCACCCACCTCAGAGAAGGCTGAGAACAAAAGCTCTAGAAGCATCAGCATTTGGGGAGTGAGCCAAGGGAGTAGATTTGATGATGGAGCCTGAGGAAAGAGTGGTCCTACAGGCAGGTTGGAGCATCACGAGATGGGGCTGAGAACAGTGGTGCAGAGCGTCAGCTCTGAGTCAGACCCACCCTCCTCGAACCTCTGCTCTGCCACAATCTAGATATGCAGCTTTAAATTTCTAACCTACACTGAGGCTCAACTTCCTCACAAGTGACCGTGTAAATCATGAGCCCAACCTGCCTTGACCAGTTGTAACTAAGCTCTGTATCCAGAACGTGACAAACACCCAATACGAATGAGATCTTTTACTCTCTAACAGATTTTCTTGCAAACACTTATCAGAGTTTGTGGTTATATTGTCATTTGTACAATTATTTGGTGGTTATCTCTATCTCCTACTAAATTGTATGCTTCCCTCTATCGCATTTTATCCCCAGCCCCTAGCACAGTGCCCGACACAGAGAAAACACTGTCACTATTTATGGCATCAGTTGACCAATCAAAGTAAAATGCAGAGGATAATTTTGGATTGTGGTGAGCTAATGGAGGAAAAGACAGACAGCTGTGTCAGAAAATAACTGAGGTAGGGGAAGGGTGTAGATACGTAGGTCTGTCAGGGGAGGTGACATGAGCTGAGAGAGGAAGACCAAGACTGGATTATTCACAGGGAGATTCACAGGGAGATTTACAGGAAGAGTCTTCCAGGCAGGACATCATGTTTCAGGGCCCTGAAGCAGAAGGCAGTGGTCCCTCATGAGAAGCCAATGAGGGATCTTAACCATGAAAAAAATAAATCAAATAGAAACAGAGAACAGTTGAGAAGCTATTGTAGATGGAGATGATGGTAGCTTACACTTAGTTGGGGGTGAAAAGGTGGGAAAGAATTGGGGGGGGTGGTTAGAATGCACTTTGGACACGAAAGACAGGACATCATGAATGATGAGTGGTGGGAAATTTATAAATCAAGGTTGGCTTGAGCAATTTTGTGAATGGTGTTGCCATTTACTGGGATGGGGAAACCAGGGAAGAAATAGGATTGGTGGTAGGGTGGGGAGATTGGGACTATAAAGATCAGATTTCAACACACCAAGTTTGAGATGACAATGAGATCACTGTAGGGTAAGTGACTGAAGAGATAAGTCTGAGGCTCAGAGACAGAGGTCCTGACTTCTTTGGTCTTATCAGCACCTAAATGGTGGTGGATACTGTCATGGGATGGATGGAATGAACTCCTAGAGTAAGGAAGTGTCAATAGAGATGATAAGAAGGTCAAACACAGATCCGTGGGCTCTTCAGAGTTGGAGGCTAGGTGAGTGGAGGGACCACAGGGAGATTGGAAGGTCTGTCCAGTGAGATGGGGAATCTGGGGGAGTCATGACAGACACAAGACAGAGGAGGGAGCAGCAGATGGCCAACTGCTACTGAGATGTCTAAGAGAGTAGAACCGAGAAAAAAGGTCTTTGCTGCTTTGCAGTCTGCCGGTAAGTTTATTCAAGTACTTAAAGAAAAACACCAGTGTACTGAGATACAATTCACAAACCACAAAATTCACCCATTTCAAGTGAACAATCAGAGCTGTGCAACCATGACTACAGTCTAATTTTAGAACATTTTCATTACCCTAAAAAGAATCCTGACATTTATTAGCAATTATTCCCCCTTCCCTTTCCCAGCTTCAGGCAGCCAGTGATCTATAGATTTCCTGATTCTGCACATTTCACAGGGAATTGTACAACGTGTGGCCTTTTGTGTCTGGCATCTGTCTCTGAGTATGATGTGTTCAAGGTCCATCCATGTTGGAGCATGCGTCTTTTTCATGGCTGCATAATATTCCATTGTAGAGATATTCCTGATTTTCTTTATGCATCAGTTGATGGAGATTGGGAGTCCTTTGCAGTTTGGGGCTATTATAAACACTTGTCTACAATTTTTTCTGTGTCTTCTCATTTCTCTTGGGGACATATCTAGAGGCAAATGCTTAGGTCATATGGTAAATCTATGTTTCACATTTTGAGAAACTGCCACATCCTTTCCAAAATGGCTGCACCCTTGTTACATCCAGGTGTCAGGGTTCCAATCTCTCTCTATCCTCACCATCACTTGTTATTTACCTTTTGGATTGTAGCCATCCTCATTGTGGTTTGGATTTGCATTTCCCTAACGACCAACAATGTTAAACATCTTTCCACGCCTTTATTGCCTGTTTGTCTGTGACTGCTAGTGAATTCTGCAAGGACAGATTGATGGAGAAATGGGCACTGAGGACAGGCCACGTAAAAGAATTGAAAGTAGGGGCAGTGCCTGTGGTTCAGTGAGTAGGGCAATGACCGTTGTACCAAGGGTGGCAGGTTCAAACCCGGCCCCGGCCAAACTGCAACCAAAAAATAGCCAGGTGTTGTGGTGGACACCTGTAGCCCCAGTTACTCGGGAGGCTGAGGCAAGAGAATCACCTAAGTCCAAGAACTGGAGGTTGCTGTGAGCTGTGACATCCCAGCACTTTACCAAGGGCAATAAAATGAGACTCTGTCTCAGAAAAGAAAAAAAAAAAAGAATTGAAAGTAAAGAAGCAGGGAAAGAAAATTTAAAAGCTATTTTGAGGCTCGGCGCCTATAGC